GACCGACTGGGCCTCCGTCGCCACATCAATCATTGACGTACGTGTTTTCTTGCGACAGGAATCGACTCGGTGCGAAGAAGCCTTCGACCTTTCCGATCGAAAAATTGTGAATTTCGGCCTCACATCAGAGAATCCTGGCAGTCCTTCTACTCTACTGTAGTTTGGGTGACATAGAACTACAAGCGAGACGACTATTGCCTCTTCTTGGAGACAGGGTGTTGTGTTGTCCCCTTTGTCAGAGACTGGAAACCCAAATATAACGTAGCTGTGATTCATCTCTTTAAACACCATTTCACTTTACAAAAGTTTGCCCAGCGCTAGAAACATCTGGAAACAGTTTCCCTAATGACCAATAAATTCGATTCAGTTTCGTGCGCACGACCACAGTTTAATTCAGACCATCGTTAGCCTGGTCACTATGAGTGCCTTTGAAAGGCCTGACCCCCTAAAATGTGAAATTTGGCCGAAAAAAATCAAAGCATCGAAGGGGCTAAACGACTCTCAAGTTGTACCAAAGGCTAGTGGAATTGATATTTTCTGTGTAAAAATTTGCTCACAACATCAATTTCATCAACAGTGGGGTGATGTTGTGATGAGGGAGTGTTGTCATTGAGGAGACGCGGACAATGCAGGGCGGGGTTATAAGAAGCGATCCCGGGTGCGGCCAGCCATCAAGCAGCAGTGTCGAGATGTGGCGACGTGTGCTCGTTCTCAGCCTTCTTGCCGTCGCCGTTCAGGTATGTATATACTGGAAATTTCAAACCTTTATTCAGTAGTTTTAATTCCAAAGTGGTTTTGGAAATCTTTTTTCTCAAATGCGATTTTGTCCTCAATTGCTAAATAATTCGCCCGGCGATCACTAACACTAACAAAAAATGTTTCAATGGTACGCGCTTGGCCTCAGGACCGGTACCTGATTTGAATATGAGGTATCTGCTGGTCTGTTTCCATTTGAGACAACCGCCATTCTGTTCTATGCTAGGCAAAACCATCCCATTGTTACAAGTGCCTAATATTTACCCCCCCCCGCCAGATCGTAGCTAGTGCCGTCCAAATGAGGTACGCAATCGTCCCTCGCGATCTTTGGATGTTTTAGAGTAGGTGTGTTGTTGAATGGATTTCTCAACGGCCCATGTACTGTTGTTAGGAGCAATTGCAGCACCATGCGTCACAGCTTGTAAGAGACGTTACGTGCTTTACGAATGCGACGCTGCACCTAGGATTACACGACTAGGACTGAAATGGTTCGAAGTATTAAAAACCTATATCGTAGGTTCGGATCGCCTTGTTGCAATTTCGTAAAGCAGTCGTTCTGAGAAGTGACGGGGTCACCAGCCTGAGCTCTACTTTGGAGGGAATGCTGAGTGCCAAATAGACGTGATCAGAGCTGCTATTGTGCTCTAGAAACTAGTCAAGCCTGGCGTTCCCACGTCTAGGAAGTCCGTGCGTTGTGGAGGGGGGGGGGGGAGCAGGGTACAGCAATCGTGTGGAAACGCATAGGGGCTGCGTAGTTTTCAGCTGGTGAGGGTCGTATTTTAGTCTTGGGAAAGGGGGGGGGGGGTGGTATGTGCCTTTTGGAAAGAAATTTGCACGCAGTGGAAAAAAATTTTTTTCGCTTTCGTGGTCATTTTGTTTTATTTCATTTCTGCTAGTATTACTCCCCCCCCACGCAATTCCCCTGCCCACTTTGGAGTGAAGAATGGCTGGAAAATGTGGGAGATCCGGTAGTTAGTGTTATGGGGAAGGGGCGGAAGTGTCGCAGCCGTAGATATGGTGGGAGGGGGTAGTTACCAGGCTCCTTTTCTGGAGGAGGGGGGAGATCGCTACTGGACACACATTTCACACATTCACGATGCTTTACCGTGAGAGGAGCGCCACTGAGTCACGTCATCTCTGCTCGTCTGGGCTTCCTCGCTGAGATAACGTGAAAGGTTTCATCAATATATGTAGTAAGCAGTAGAACCTTTTCAGAAAATCCACTTCTACTCTCGCGAGACAGGCGCAGACAAGCACTGTGAGGAAGGGCGCAGACGATTACGACGAGTCCCTCACTAAATGCATTGAAGTGACATTTTCGCAGAAAGAAATGCGTATTACTGAGCTTCGCTGAGTACTGCACCTCCCTCCCCCCTTCAAGGCACTTAAGCGCCAGTCGTAGCAACTCTGACGTTGTTTGACGTGGAATAAATCGGCCACACACTCTTTCACTTTCTATGCACCATTCTGCTTCCGTTTGAATTTTTTCCCTCATGGTATTGCTCAGCTAATCCAGTACTAGACTCCCCTTTAGAGGGGTCTTTCCTCAGAGGGAGACTATGTCTAATGATGCATCCGGGACTGACATCTAGTCAAATCGAGATTCTGACTTGAATATCAAATCATGGAGCAAAACAGTGGAAGGGGAAGGGGGGAGGGGGGAGTACGATTTATCTTTTTTCACCTTTCAATGATTGTGTACCAAGCACGCAGTAAGCGGAAGTCCTCGATGTCTCCTTCAAGAGAAATCGATCTTTCGCCGATTATGGTAGTGAAAATGAACGGTTCACGATTTTTCATCATCAATCTCTATAGGTACAGCAAATATTTACGGCCTGAAACTTTGACATTGCGCACGGCTCATAACCTTGAAATCGCCTCTCGTTTTTCAATTTTCGCGCCAGCCTAAAGAAGTAAAATTTGCTCCGTTATTTACCTCAACCTATGCCGTCCAAACAAGAGAGGACAGGACAAAGTATAGCTGAAATAAATGAAGTATAATTATAAATATAGTATAAGTGTATAGCAAACTGATCAATCATGCCAAGTGTAAAAGATAGTCGCTCAAGCCAGAGCGGTCCTTATGCTCCCCTACTGTCCAAGACTGGGAACACGCGTGTGAGATTCAACACAGTTGTTATCAGTCTCCGCCCATCTGCCCACTGCGGAATGTATCGTCAAGTCACTTTTTTCTAAGTCTTAAAGCCATTTATCAATCGAATATGATCCAGCAGGATTAGCAGAAAAGCTATAGCTATGTCGTTCCATTTTGATTTCTGTAAAGTGCTGATTTCAGAGCGCCACTCGTCGCGATGCTGGCGTTGCCGTTCGGTTTTCGACCAAACTGTCACCCAAAACCAATGGGTGGCTGCAAATGTGACATCACCGAAGGAGATTTGAATACTGAAATCGAGTTCGACAATAATGAGGACTGCAAAAAGCCGATTGAAAGTCAGTTTTACTTCCAACTATCAATAAAGTAACACATATAGTGGTTCTGCTTAGTAGCATGTAGGCAGTTAAGGTAGGGACATGTGTAGATGGAATTTTGCCTATATCTTTATATAGTTTACCAGGTTTTTTTCACGTCTCTCTCCTCACAATAGGCAATTATTCTTGTGATGGTGAGGCAAGCAAAAATTGTGCTAAACAGGTGCCGTGTGCCCCTCTCAACTATCGTCGCTCCGTCTAAAGTTCATTGAAGCCGCCTTGTAAACATCGCGCTGAGAAGAATCATGTATGGAAATCGGGTTTAGATGTTGACGAACTCGTCAACAATCAGGGGGAATCCGAATCCAAGCGCTCTACGTGGCCTGAATGCAAATCTGCAAGCCTGAAGAGACGCTTAAGTAGCTCTCGCGAATTGAATTGCCACCTCCTTTGTGGCCATCATCGGAGATTGAGTGACTCGCTCTAGCTCGAGCTCTGGTCACCGGCGGTGGATGATGTTACGCGCTGCTCACTGCTCTGAAGCCAATACATCTCAAGAATAAAAGGAAGCAAAGGAACTCAAACCGACCACTCGTTGTCAAGTATTTTTTTGAGATGCGCATGCATTCTACACCATTCAGAATCGCTATGACTTATTGAATGAGAGCGTGGTGATTACAATCAGGGAGTAACAGCATCGTTGTGTGAACACATAGGAGGGGGGGGGTCGTACTTCTTCTCTGGGGAGGGGGTCGTATTTGGTTGTTGGGAGCGGGTGGGGGAGTCGTAAGTGTCTTTGAAATTTGTCTCGTTGGTTTTCCGGTTGTTGTTTTTGCGCGATTTTTCCTGTCTCATGTGTACCGTATACCTCCTCCCCTTCCCCTTCCTCGCTCGACTGAGAATTTTTCGGTGAAAACGGAAAGTGGGGGGGGGGGGGGGAAATGTAATAACGGTAAGGTGTTAGGCGTAGGAAGGGGGGCCGTACTACACCCTCTCTCGGAAGGGGGGTCGTATCTACACCACCACCTCAAACGTTACGATTACGATGATGTACCCTGTATACAATGACTCTGCGGGAGGGAGCCGTGTAGAAGTCAAAGGTATTATCCTCCCATATGAATCCGATACCAATTTACCGCCTCTGGAGGGTAGAAGGGGTGGTTGGCTCGGTCGGCAGGTATGGCGTGTAGATAGCATAGAGTATAAAATAGGTTCAGTAGAAAATTTGCTCAGATAAACACGATAAAAAAAACCCATCTAAAAGCATTTCGTTTTCAGTGGTTACCGCTGACAACAAAAAGAAGTTGAATAAGGAGATCGAGCAGAAATTCGGCGCTTTCAAGGTGAGTTTTATGAAGGATCTGTCATCTTCGCTTTATTTTCATGCTCTTTCACACTTAGAAACTGACTTCGATATGTTTAGAGGCTATAATCCTCGTTTTGAAGCACAGTAGGCAGTAAATAAACCCAAGAGGCTCATTCGGCTTAGAATGTGTCGCAATGCCTAAGAACTATCGACTGCATTGCCAAACAAGACCATAAGTCATTTTGCACAGCAGCACATGCTGTAGAAGAAGATAAATGACATACCGAGGGAAAGATTCCGATGGTGAGATAACACAGGAATGGGAGTGCTTCATAGGGTTATTATGTCTCGAGAGATAGTTCTGTGATGGATTGGGAGGCCCAGGGTTGCTTGTGGTAGTGGTTTAAAAGTATTTCCTCCAGGCTTAACGCTAAAGCCCTCGGGGGCGCCAGTTGTTGAGGACTCTTCCATCATAGAACTACCCACGGCAAAGGCTCGTTGATGAATGTGGAGATCTTAACTACTGGAACATTGAGAGGTATGGAGAGACAAAACAAGGAAGGGGTCACAGTCTTGTTTCTTCTTTGGGTTTGGGTTCTTTGGGCATGCTAGGGCGTGTTAAGGGACCGGGTTTGGCGCACGGTCTGCCCTTTTCACCAAATGTTGTCGCTCGCACGCTTTAAGAACTGGTGGAGGCTTGGGGGGGGGGTGGCTGGCATCGCTCAAAACCCAGGGCTCTGACACGTCTCAGCGCCTGCCGCAAAAACGACTGTACGTGGCATTTCCACATTCGACTAACAGCAGATACCGTTCTGATCTATTTGGAAAGGAGGTTGTTGAAAAGGCACAGGCTGAGTTAGTCCCAGCGTTCTGCGCTTCTACCAAGACGCCCACCTATTCATTACCGTTTGAGAGAAAAACCGCCAGTGGGAAGGACTGAAGACTAGGCTTGATTACACCCATTGCACCAGCGTGGGTTGTTTCTACATACTTGGGGTCCATTCTAATTGTAAGGGCTTTTTCCAAAGTGGCTGCCTTTTATTTTTCATTCAAAATCGTAACAGGCTGCTTCTAAACCTAATAATGAAAAAAGTAACAAACTGCCAGACAGTTTCTAATATATGCCTTTCCAGGACAATTGTTTCCCGAAGCCATCTGGTGGCTGCAAATGCAACGTTGATTTGGGACATGGCGAAGAAGTGGTCGAATACTCCTCGGACGCTGAATGCAAGAAGAGCCTCGAAAGTACGAAAACTTGGTATTTATAAGCGTACAGTCCGCGCTCGCGTGAGGATACTCAGACCGCTGCGCCTTTCCTATTGATGCGCACATCCCAGGACGATGAAAAGGAGGGGTACGTCCCTGAAGACGGTGTAACCCTGCCCAAAAGATCAGCTCCTCTTCGAAATAACTTCTGTTCAGAAATGAAAACTCCGACTCGAGCTCTAACATAGGTTAGACAGAATTTCTGGGTCCTTCTAAGGGACAAATCAAAAGGTTCCTCGTGCAGAGTATTATTCTCATGGTGAAATTGAATTTCTTTCGGACTAGAAGGGAACTGAGCGGTGATCCAAGTCCAGTAGGACTGAGTCTTCCTTAAACAAATGCTCCTCCTTAAACTGATAGCCTCAGTTTCTGCTCTAGATAGCTCTATAACGATACTATTTAGGACAAACAGCGGAACACAAAGTTGAATTGAATGAAGAGATCAAAGAGAAATTCGGAGATTTCAAGGTCAGTTTCATTATGATCAATGGCCACATTTCATGGTTGCGCCAATCTACCAGGTAGTTGTGCGCCACCGTTGATCGACTAAAACCACATTTTCGTGAGGAGGGGTGGGGAGCGGAGGGAAAGGTGACTTATTTGGATCTTAGTCTTAGTGTGACTTGACTTGTGACCCCAAAGTGAGGATAACTCACGAAAACCTTGGCCGCCACCACGCTCAGTTCAAGTGCGCAGCCACGCCCACCGCATTTTAGGGATTTTGAGCGTGTATTCTTACCATCTTCAAGATGGGGAGAGTGCATCTTTGGTCACGTCAGGGCTCACACTAAAAGAATTTAAGGGTATTCAGAAAAATTCATCCAAACAAACTCAACGAATATAGAGCTTTATTACTTGGCCTTTTCGAGGCTGAGAGGCGAGAGGAGTAAACAGGCCTCCGCCTTGCCGAGGAAAAGGAAGGACCATAGAGGTTCCCCTTCCTCTCCTGCGAACTACGTCAGCGCACTTTTCGAGCTAACATGAACCCAAAAATTTGTCCGGAAGCAATCCAGTACCTCCTGCAGGGGCCAGAGGTCCTTTTCCACGAAAAATCGCAAGGAAAAGCCTGTCTTTCGTTCCGAGGTGATCAATTATTCTGAAGAAAATCGAGAAGAAAACTTTCTGCTTTGTGCTCCGTTCATTATCGAGCTAGCAGATGAGATTCCTAATCCGTTCTGTAATCATGTACAAGCTTATTCTTGGCCGCAAAGGATTATAATAGCGAAAATTGTGTAGCTAGTGGATATAGAAGCCTGCTAAGCATTATCATCCGTGATCCCATGTGGTTATACACCCACAAGGAGCTCATGCAGGGCAGTCATGGCGATGATGGACCCTTTGTTCTTAAAGGAGCGGTCCGCGATGACCTATGAAAATGCAAGAGGTTATGTGGGAAGGTAGTGCGGTCCGGAGTGGACAACCCTGTGCCAGTTTCGCGGCGGAAAGTTGTACGGTAAAGGGATTAAGGCGCAAAGTTGCTTCAGTGGTACATCCCTTTTTCCAGTGACTCCGCCTCCAGACTCCGCCTCCAAAGTCGGCCTTCCAGCCAAAAGTAATGCTCCCGGGCAAGTATCATGGAGTGGATGCATTCAATGTCTCTTGTAGAGTCATAGGGTTCATTACTGGGAATCAGCCGGGAGACTGTCTCAGCGCGCGGTCTTTTCAGTCTTTTACCTCTACAGCTGTGTGAGGCTAAAGGAGGACGGAGGTCTGACGAATGCGAATCATAGAGATCCTTGGGATTTGGGATTTTCTCTTCATAGATGGTTCACTTGGCAAATTTTCTTTCACATTTCTGAAAATTACCTCGGCTTTTTATCGCGGACCGTGCCTTTAACAACCCTCTCTCCCTCACCTCCCGCCACCATCCCTATCAAACGCTAGCTCTTCCATAATCCCAGAACACCTTAGCGTTCCATGTTATTTCGATAACATCGCAGTCAGTCGGGGAGGTGTGAGAAGACTCAATATGAGGCTGATTTGCTTTATCAATGGACAGGATAGTGATCGAAGAAAGAGTATGGGTAGTGGTGGAAATCCCGATAGAGTTTCGAGCTGAGGAGTCCTTGCCACACAGCATACTTCTGAAGGAGAAGAAGGCTTTCAAAAGCCCCGGGAGCATGTGCAGCATAACTTTTATGCCTGTGCCTTATCTTGATCCTGAAGTAGTCTGTACCCTTTACAAATGAAATCCCGAATGGGAGTGAACCAGCGACAAAATTTGGTCCTATGTCACTCGGGAGAGGCCACTCTCCAGTGAAGATGTCTCACGTCTGCTCGGATACTCCTTTGCCCGTGGACAGCTTGTCATGACTTTTTAAGCTAGAACGTAGCGTGGTCAAGCTTCACTGGAGAGTGTTCCTCCCGAAGCACATAACGCCAAAATCATAGAAACATCTGTAGGTAGGTGAGATCTAGTGCTGGAACTGACCCCATACTCTGGTTATTTTTCTCTGAACTTAGGCCAAACTCTGCACAATGTCAACTCGCAGAAACTAGAGTTAACTATTCAATTTCAGGAAAATTGCTTCCCTAAGCCATCAGGCGGCTGCAAATGCAACGAAAAGGATGCTCAGGGTAATGAAGTTGGTCACCGCCTATAATAACGCTGAGGAGTGCAAAGTCAGCGTGAGTTTCCCTTACTTTACTGGAATTGCAGCGAAAAGCACTGGACAAGACGATCTTAGAGAGTCTGAATTAATATCCAGGCCGTAGGGGAACAGTTTATATTTATTGCCTACTCCTTTCCAGCGTGACAAGCGTGACGTCGGTGTTGCCACCCAACGTCAGCCTTCAAACGTTCACCAGACCTACCAAAAAGCCCGTGCCCGCGATTCTCCCAGCCAGAATGTGCGCGACCCTGTCAGGTGATTGATTTATGATTCATTTTCTTTGGCGTTTTTATGATACTGTGGTTTCAGAGAGCGTGCCCAGGCCAACTATGCTGCAGTGCTTGATGAATTGCACAACAAGTTCAAGGGACTCAAAGAGGGTTGCTTCCCACGACCCAAAGGTGGAGCCTCTTCTCAACAAATCGATATCAATCAATTACGAAATCTTTGGAATGATTTTCAATAAGCGATTTAGGATGTCTATGTGTAATCGGTAAGACAACCGAAGGACGAGATATCACCGAACGTCGCATGAAAGACGCTGATTGCAAGTGCAAAGAAGGAGAACGAGGACATGGATGCCCTGCAGCTTAAATTGTTTGAAATCATTTGGAACGTTGCCAACAAACTCTCATAATGTTCATACGTCAAATTCATATAGTCGTCAAGGCTTTATCTCGCCACTTCTATCTTTGATTCGACTGTTTCTTCCACCTTTTTACTGAATTCCTTGGAAATCCCATGCTCTGTTTTGTGAAGTGAAGTGTATTTATGTGGTGTAAATCTGAAAATCGATATATTGATTGATGGTTTGTTGATGGCAGCGCGCCTGTGGGCGCAACATGTGTTTCGTTTCGCTGTGGTGTGGTTTTAACGAAGCCAGAACTTCGAAGAAGTTCGTTTGGGGCCTGTTTGTTGGTTCACTAACAGATGGGCAGGATGAAGCCGGTGATGTTCTCAAAACTGGAAGGATTGATTTTCACAAAGATCGACTTCTCTCTGAGATGCGCCATGCATTGGGCTTCATATCGGGAGGTTCGAGAGTGCGTCACTACTAGGAAGGCCGCCCCAGCTGCGGTGCAGTCAGGGCACGTCCCACGCTGGAGAATCCCTAGGAGGGGGGGGGCGGTCGTAGTTCGTCACTGGGCGGGGAGGGTCGTATTGGTCGTAGAAAATTTTTTTCAAT